GCTGATATTTTTCATCATTTTCTGGCATTTTACAGACAAAACTCACCAACGAATCAAGGGAAAGATCAGCAGGTTCATCGGCAATGAAAAGACTCGTTTACTGCGGCTGTTTTTCTGCAAAATAGTCGTTTATGACATAATGCCTTTAATGTCGTACTTCAACTCTCTTTGGATCGTTAGCTTTTGGGGAAACACCTGCACATTACTCTGGCTGCACACATGAGTCGTGTTTAAGGCGTCCAATCAGGTTTCTAGGACGCGTTTCTAAAAGCTGGCCTGGCCCCGAGATGGCAAACAATCCAGAGGGTTAGTGGAGGTGTTTAGCCGTCTCTGGAGGTATTAGCATGAGCTCAGCTACTTTCCTGCTTTCAGACACCCGCGGTATGTGGCTGGGAGAAAATAGATTACGCGTGCTGAGGAGGCCACAACAGCGTGGAATGTGGGTCGCGGTTCAGGCTCCGTATCGGCCTCTCAGTCCCAGAACTTTGAAGCCCAGGAGGTGAAACCACGGCGGGTGATGCACCTCAAGCCCTGAGCTGTTTTCACGACATTTACGTCTGAATAAACATCTTAAGACTGGACTGGTGACTGCAGCTAGACCTTAAAATGAACCCTACGCTCCGTGCAAATACAAAACGTGTTCACACCTGAGTAAAACATGCTCTACTGTAAATGAGGCCATGCTTCGTCCACTATTCCAGCAAAAACAGCCTTTAAACCTCCTGCATCGATCGTAACCATCGGTCTACTGGACGTTCCTCGTCTGGCCTTCTTCCAGGAATGGCGCCGCTTGCATCTTTAAAACTGATCTGACCTGGTCCTGCTGCAGCCACTTCCAGGGTGCAAGAGGTTAATGCACCTTAACCCTGCTGTCGGCAGGGCGTCCTGTAGATTAAATGTTATTTTAAGGGCTTAAAGACCCCCTGCGGTGAAAATCAACATTTGTTTACTCGCGGTGGTTTCTTTAATGCTGGGAGACGCATCAGCAGCGACATAAGCAGTCGAATCGGCTTCACGTTGCAGCGTAAAGACAAACGTGAAGAAGTAAATCCTGTCAGGATGCAGAGTGGAGCTGTCAGCATAGCAACTCCTCAGAACCGTTCTGTAGTTCCAGCATGTTTGGCTGAATTCCTCCGATACATCAACCGTCCACTGTGCAGCGTTCAGTAGTTTTAATGAGTTTGGTGAGCTGGTGTGCTGAGCTGCAGTGGAGAGGCTTCATAGAGCTGCACAATCTAGAGAAACAACAGCATAGAGGTAAATCTCAGCCACTTTAAATGATTAGCTTAGCATCTTTGTGAAGCTGCAACCAGTGGCGCTTTAACCAAAATGCTAATGCTAGCATGCTAAATGGCCTAAAATGACAGCGCTAACATGCTGATATTCAGCTCGTGTATTTAATACCTTGTGTTCATGAGAAAACACTGCCTCTTGTGGAGTTGTAGATGTTTTATGAAAGCTGCAGTTTCAGGAGTTTTCTGATATTTTCAGGCCACAGAAGCTCATTTTTCAGAGAATATTCTGCAGCATAGTCTGACTTACCAGATGTGGACTTCGGGTATAACCGTCCATTGCTGGCGTCTCCCAGAGGTTTCTTGCAAAACGGTTTTAAAGCTCGATGTGGCAGCTCATTATTACGACTATCTTGACTATTATCACAGTGCCTAACTCCACACTCATCCAAAAACACCCAAAGAGGCGGAGCTTGTGTTTCCACACCCTTAATTATGTCGAACTTTAAAGTCACCCCCAGTGCAGTTAAAGTAGCTCCAGAGACCAAAAAGACTCTTGTTCCAGACTGTAGATGTGTTTATTCCTGCTGTAAAGTTGGACATTTTAACATGAAGGTCAATGAGGATTGACTCACTTTCAGCGGCGGCCTCGAGTGGACGTTTGAGGAACTGCAGCTTTTTATTTTTCAACCCCAGAGTTGTTGTTCGGTCACAACCACAAGCTCAAGACTTTCATTTAAAACCACTAAATATTAACGTTCACCATTATAGCTAATTTGCTAATTAGCATTAAAAACAGACAGGAAGTGGTACAAATGCAGTGGATTGTAAGCTTTAAAAAGTAATAGAAATGAAATGTCTACAGTGTGCATAAATGTGCAAAATGTCTCTCTAGGAAGCTATAATGAGCATTTTTGCTGTTTTCCAACATTTTCTACACTAAATCTGACATTTTCATCGTCGGATACTGACGGTACACCCTCAGAAAATCTGTTCCTGGATGACATCAGAACTATGTTATGTGCTCTGGAGCCTAATATTGCTTTTGATGTAACTCGAGATGACATAAATACATAAAAAAAGGTCTGTCCTGAGGCATTTGTTAGGTTGGAAGTCTGAAAAACAAGGGAATCATCAGAAGAATCCACCAAATTAACCATATCTCTTCAACAGAACAACATGTTTAGATGATTTCATGTGGTTTCCTTTTGATACCTGATACAGTATTTTGCTTTGAAATCTCTGCACTGAAGCCTTAATCAATGATTCACAGATAAATCCGTGTCACTGAGCCAGTAATCATTCGTCTCAGCCACAGCTCATCAGTAAAAGTTGTTTCTCATCTTCGTATTACACCAGATCAGGAAATCACAGGTAGAACCAACGACATTAGCCACGACCTCGATGCATCCAGCGGCGACGGCCGACTGGAACCGAGCCGGTCGTTTGCATCATCAGCTGCACTCGTGTTTGACAAGTTGAGAAAAAGGTTTTTACCTGTGAGCTCCAGGGTGTCGTCTAGTCAGTCAGCTGTGACATATAGAGAGGAAGACGTCTGCTGTCAGGAGGGTTTTATGTTTTATACACATCAGACGTCAAATAAAAGAGATTAAACACCACCGTGAAGGTTTCACTTCCTGTCCGGTTTTCTATCTGGATGATGTTTTCAAAGCTAAAAGGCTCAGATGTGTTTTTGGATTTGGTGTTTGAACCCACTGAGGCTGCTACAGTCAATACTAATACAAGTCCAATGAAGGAAAAGTGAAAAATCAATACACAAGCTGAAAGATAACATTAGGGCTCATAAATAAAAATATTACTGAAACCGTTTGTTTTATTCTTTGTGAGGTGAATTAGCTTTTTCTCTACAATCAGAGGATATTCTTTAGTTACAACTTGATGAACACGCCTTTGAGTTGATTCCTCATAAAAAAAATAAAATAAAATAAAAAAGCACTTCCCAGTTGTTTAAAGTAAATTTTCTCTAATTTTTTTATATTGACAGACACTTAAAAGATTAAATTCCAATTAGGTTTTCTTCATTAGTTGTTTTGTTTATTTTTGTTGTTTGTTTGTTTGTTGGCATCTTCATGTTGTTTTTTTTTCCATTTCCTCTAAGAAATCAATTAATTCAACAATTTTTGCATCGTTTTTTTAAGTTTATGACAATTTTTTAATCAAATCATTTTCAACCAACAAACTTTATTCAGTCATGAGAATCTTTAATCAGCGTTATTCTTAATTGGCACTCATTAATGTTTGGTAGTTCTTAAGTTGATTACTTGAAAAGCACATGATTTCCAGCTAGTTTTTTAAAATTTTATTTAAAGGTTGTTTTTTGGTTTTATATACTCAAGTTTTTATGTTGACAAACATTAAAAAGATTCAGTTGCTCCAATTACATTTTTCACGTTTTTCTTCAAATGGTAGCTTTTGAGAAATTATCTAAAATATTAGGATTATTTTTTTTTAGTTGCTCCAACTGGTTTTTCCACCTTATTTAAAAGATTTATTTTTTTAATGTGTGGTATGTACCTAAATTTTATAATTATACCCACAAGTTTATAAGTTGTCAAGATTACAAGAACAAGTTTTACGTAAGCAGGAGAGAAGCCAGTTTATTTAAGTTACCTCAACATGAATTTAGATTCAATCAACCAACGCAGAAATCTGAGTTGAAAAAACACAGAATTTTAAATTGATGCAACATTATTTTTGTCCATCAAAAACAATATGAGCAACTTAAAAGGTTTGTTTAAATGATTAAATTAGAACGTTTATATCTTGCAGCCATGCATTTAGTTATTGTTGTAAATAAGTCAATAAGAGGATTACTTTTCAGAGTGCACGGCTAGAGGACATTTTCTTTTATTCGTCAGTGTCAAGAAGTGAAACTGAGACACTTTTCTTTAAGCTCCAGCAGGAAGACGTCTCTTCACTTCTAAAGCGCAGCAGGACTCACGGCTGTCAGTCTAACTGTTTTCTCGTCTCCTCAGGTTGTCCTGCAGAACCTGCTGATGTGCATGATCTGCTTCTACTCTCTCTACTACATCGTGGTCAGCGTCTGCATCGGGCTGCTCAGGTGAACTCTCATCCCGTCCAGCACCAGCAGAGCTCAGTCGGGTTCTGGTCTCACTCTGCCGTCTCTTTCCTTCCGTCTTCAGGGTTCCTGAGATCAACAGCTTGTTGGCTCCGTTCGACTACACGACTCAACCGTCATGGCAGAACCCCAAATACCTCGGTGAGTCCCAGCAGGGCGACGCAGAACCTTCAGCCGAGCGGCACATGTTAGAGAGCAGCAGACAAGAGGGTCCACTGTGTTCTGCTGGATCTCACTTTAATGCATTAGTTTGATACTATAATGACCGGCTGCATGTGCACAATCAACGCTTTTTAAATGGTTGTTTTGCTTTATGAACAACTCACTGTTATTTTACACATATTTCCTGTTCTGTTAAATCACTAACGCGTACTTCTTAAGTCAGAACTGAAGGTTTTTCTCAAATAAAGGAAACTCACCTGCAGCAAAACGATAGGAACTGAGAATTTTATCGAGTTTGTTCAGCGGGGTTTCATTTATTCAAGCATGATTTCTCCTGATCAGACGGTCAGAATCACAAGGAAATAGATTGATTTTTGCAGAAAAACTCATTCTGAGCAGGAACCTCGAGCAGCTAAGTGACCAAAGAGATGAAACTATAATGTAATAGTTGATTTCTAGTGTATTTCAGTTCATTTTTCTCCATCTTATCTTCCTGTTTGGTTTTAAAAGCTGATAAGATCAATAAGTGACGGCTAAATTTTATTCATGTGCTTCAGTTTTAGAGTTCACTTCTGATATAATGCGAATATACAGTAACTAGTGATGCATTTTTGGTAAAAGATAAAAAAATAAAAACGTTAAACTGTTGATTTTTCAGATTCTAGATGTTTTCAGGCACAAACAGAAAAACTCAGTTAAACGTCACGCCGCTTATAATAAACCGGCCTCTTTCTTTCTTTCTTTCTTTCTTTCTCTCGGTGCCTCCAGTCGGAGTGATTTCCACAGAAGTGACCTACGTTCTGGGCGGCCTGGTGTTCGCCTGGATCGTGGAGGAGTGGGTCTGGGATTACGCCATAACTGTCACGCTGCTGCACGTCGCCATGACTGTGGCAGGTAAACACACACACACACACACACACACACACACACACACAAAGTGGATCAATAGAGCGGAACAGCTGATCGGATTAGAGTTGCTGCTTATGTAACTGGACCTAGTGGCTGCAGCGTATCAACAAACTGCTCGCTGACTGTCCGGCTGTGCATCAGCTGAATTAAGGGTTTGCACATATTGTCAGGTACATTATTTTTAAGCATCTGTCACTTTTTAAATCACAGCTTTCTGGTGTGTTTCTTTGCAGTGATGTCAGAATTCCCTTCAGCTGAGCACTGGTGGATGGCTCTGGGTAAGAGCTACTCGTTTTTCTCTCTATCTGACCGACGTTTTCCTTTTTCTTACTCCCAGACGTATTATTATTCACGTCCTACCTGCCTCTACGGTCAGATTACATTCACTCCAGTACATTTTTATTATAAAACAGCACTTTAAACATAGACCACATCTAAAAGGTTGGATGCTGTGATGTTAAATCTTCAGGTTTGGTGATTGTTATGAAGTCTGACATGATGAGGGAGGGTTGTGGTTGCAACCATCCAAGCCACACCCTGAAACAAATCCTACTTTATTGTCTGTTTTCCTCTAAATGTGACTGTAATTTACAAAATGAGCATCCTCCTGTACTGAAGGAGACTTGAAACTAGCGTCTGAGACCATAAACTCATCAGGAAAACGTTTACTGAGGTGACAGATCAAGTGAGAAGTAGCTCCTTTTCTCATAGACGTCTATAGAATCTGTTTTCTTTTTGCAATCAGACGAGTCGCCTCCTGCTGGCTGTTACAAAGAATGCAAGTTTAAGGCTTCACTTCTTTAGATCTGGAGGCCACATTCAGAGCTGTATAGTTTTAAAAAGAAAACAATCTCTGTTTAAAGGAGCAGCATCTTAAATGTGAGTTCAAGTTGGGTGCAAAACAAAACACCTGAAGACTTTTTTTAGCTCCCTGCAGTCAGAAAAGCTGTTCAAAATGAACAGATATTCAATATTCAGGGCAAATAAAAGGGTCAAATCTTCAAATCTAAGCTGAAAATGACGAAAACCAACAACCGCTGATGAGTTTTTTTGTCTAATTCTCCTCATTACAGTAAACTGAGTAGCTTAGAATAGACACTAGTCTGACTTTTTATGGACCAAACAATTAATAGATCATTAGAGAAATAACCATCAATAAAAATAATCATTATTCGCAACCACGCATTGGATTTTAGCAGCAAACTCAACCAGTAGTTCAGACACTGGGTGTGGATGTAGCAGAAGTTTGTGTGTTTTATAATAAAAGTGTTCTGATGTGGATGAAGCTGCTGTTGGTCTGCAGGCAGGTTTTCTTTTTGCAGGATGGTTGGATGAAAACTCATCAAATATCATGTAGAAAGTGTTTCCTAATCGGTCAGTGAGGATGTGAGGAAAACAAACCTCGTGACCTGTAAATCTTCTCAGATTTCTCAGTTTTTCTGCTTCATCTCTGTGCAGGTTCAGGCCTGGTGATGATGATCTTCGGAGGACAGCTTCTCGCCTACAAACTCTTCAGGAGCAACTTTGTGTATCCAGCTGAGCTACAGAACTTCTAATCAACATGAGAAAAAAAACAAAAAACACGGCATAACTGCTTAATGTCAGGTCTCTGTTTCTGGTACGAATCACGTCCATCCAGGATATATGCAGACATATATTTATATTTTCTATAAAGCAACACAGGACACCAGATAACTCGGTCCGTTAGCTGATAGTCTGATCCCACCTTGTACAAATCGCCTAACTTTGTCTAATGCTGTTTTTTTGTTGTAACATACTCTGTACAGTTTAAATATTTTTTTGTATTGTTTCTTTACCCTCAAAATATTAGACGCTGAGCAATAGAGAAGACTTTACAGCTGGAAGGTTTCTGTAGTGATGAGTTAAGTCACAGGACAGATTTGTGTGTCGTTTAGCAGCCTGGTTTTAAAAAAATGACCTGTTTAGGAAGCAAGAAAACGCAGATCTGTTAGATTTCATGCTGAGTTGCTATTAAAAAGACCCACCGACACCACAGATAATCACTTTAATGTTGGCTGTATATGTTAGTTACAATCTATTAAGAATTTGCATTAAAGATTTTATCCATAAAGATTGTTTCGTGTGTGTGTGTGTGTGTCCATATCTCGAACCACGGATTTTATTTGTGTATTTTAAAGAAATCCAGTTGTTTGTGTGACATAAGAAATAAAACATTTAGGGTGAGGAGTGCTCCACATTGAAATCAGCGCCACACACTTGTAGCACATGTTTTTGTGATTAATAATGTGATTTATTGGTCTGAAAGTGGGCTCTGGTTAGTGAACTGATGATAGCACACTTTTAGAACAGTAAATTAATTATTTTATATTTTCATATTTATATTGTAGTTGGTTTGCTGATCCAAATACGTCACAATGTTTGAGCTAAAACCAGGTTAAATCTAAAAGAAATAAATCAAATTCAAATAATTTTAACACAATATGTAGAGTTTAAGTGTGAGTCTTGGATATTTACAGCTGTTTAATCTGTGTTCTAAATATTGTGGATGAATTATGAGCATTTGTCTATAGAAGAAAGAGAACTGTGACATTTTGATGTTTTTAAACTAATGACAGGGACAAAGCAGTTTTAAAGTTCCACATCCATTAGAAAACATTTTTATCAAGAAAACTAAAAGGAAAAGACCTAAAAGACAAGCTGGCAATTAAAACAAATTTGACTTTCAGCCAATATTTTCACTGAAAAAAAGTCTTAAGCTTAATATCTAATTAAGACAAACAATTTTGTATCTTAACCCCACAGAGGATAAAGAAAATGGATAGAAATTAGTATTTTACATCATACTGTAGGGTTTTAACTAGAATATTTTGATTATTCAGGTAAATTCATGTAATAAATAACCTTGTAGAGTCTTAACCTTGATATTTTCTTACTTTTTATTTGGTATTATTTGTAATATTTAACATTTTACCAGACAGAATAACATCACCACAGAGTTCATCACTTCTGTTGTCGTCCTGCAGGTGGTGTCGCAGGTAAAATGTCCGACTGGAAACTTATCCCAGTTTAATTAAACGCGCCTTCACGTTTTGACCTGTTTGATGCTGTCAGTTAGAAAACAGTTTAACTGAGACAAAGCTGTTAAATATTTCTCAGATAAATTCAATAGCTTACCTTCCTGCTGCTAAATGTCCGGGAACGGCTTAATATCGAGCATCCGGAGGCTGATGGAGTCTGACGGGCCGCTGACGAGCAGGTCTGCGGTGAGTTTGACGCTGTTAGCTTAGTTAGCTGCTCCGTTAGCCGTTCCGTTAGCCGCTCCGTTAGCCGCTCAGCTAGCGGCTCAGCTAGCGGCTCAGTTAGCTGCTAACATGCTAATTATGTTTCTATTTATGAGTAAAAGAGAAATAATGTCGTCCTAATATAAAAGTAGACATTGCAGAGCAAAACACTAGCTGTTCATTAACTGAGCTATGTTGATAGTTTTTGGCTATTGCAGTATTTTATTAGACAGTTATGCAAAGTAGCCCATATTTAATAAGTGAATACCTCATTTGCTAATTTAAACTTAAACATTCATAAAACTTGTAATACAGAATAATTATCTTAATATATATAATCAACAGGGGAGATTTCATGTTGATATCTGTTGGTTAAATAGTGGTCTACAATAAAAATTTTAAAAAATGTAATTTTACAATATATATATTTCAAACCTTAATCAATCTTGTGACATAAATACCAAAAAAAAAAAATCCTCAAGGGCAAAATCGTTAATACAAATTAAATAATGCTTCTTGTTTTATCTTTTTTAATTCACATTTTTTCATTCAAAGGTTTTTCAGTTGAATGAAAATGTGTGATTTTGTGTTCTGAATGTCCTTTTTGTGCCTGTAGGTGTTAAAAATGGTCAAAGAATTCACAGTGATATTATAAAACTCACATTTTACCACATTTCTGCAGAGTCCTTTCGAGCAGCTCCGTCAGCAGATGGATGACGTCCTGGGAGACGGAGGGATCCTGAAGCAGGTGGTCCAGCCAGGAGAGGGTCCGCCGGTGCCCCAGAACGCTTCAGTATTAAGTATCTATGAGTGCAGGTTTATTTCTAAAACCTGTCATACGGTCGTAGTTCATAACTGCAGCGTGTTTTTTCTTCCACAGTCCATTACTCTGGTTTCCTGGAGTACTCTGACCAGCCTTTTGAAACCACCACTAACTTCAGGTTCCCTCAGATGATGAAGCTGGGAAGAGGTGAGAGGTTCTTCAGGCTGGTTTGAACAGTGACTGTCCTGGTCTTGATTTAGAGGTTGTTTTTTCATGATGTGGTTTGTCGGAGCAGATGTGACACTGGCCGGCCTGGAGCTCGGTCTGCTCACCATGAAGAAGGGAGAGTTCTCCCGTTTCCTCCTGCAGCCTCGGTACGCCTACGGAGACATGGGCTGTCCTCCGCTCATCCCTGCTGCCGCCGCGGTTCTGTACGAGGTCCAGATCCTCGACTACCTCGACTC